TTTTTGTTGGATGAGCTCTATCTTTCAGCTTGGATATAATCTTGTAGTTTTTATTCAATCTAATCTTGCAGACTCCTGTGAAATTCGTTCACTCCTATAAGCCTATAAATAGGAGACCTTTCCCTTCCATTTAACACACCAAACCGAGAGCAAAAACAAGAAGAAGAAAAAACTTCCCTGCTTAGTGCAAACCAATCCTCTCTTGCCTTTTCTTTGTGAATCTGTCTGTGTGATTGATAATGGCCTTCAAATTGGAGATACCTTTGTGGTGTGGATCAAGTTTCTGAGCCGAATTATAAAGGGGAAAACCGTTCCTTAATTTTTCAGATTTTGGTCTTGATTTTCTTCATTTTACTTTGCAAATCCTTTCACTAATCAATTGTTTTGGTTAATTTGTAGGTGGGTTTGCTTCTCAAATACATTCATAAATCATCAGTTTTTGTAAGCTGGGGCGGATTTTGGTGTTTTGCTATAGTTGTATAAAATTGGAGCTGAATTCTTGCATTCAATTTTTTGTTTGATTGCATTTAATTGGATTTCTGGATTTAATTGAATACATTCATAAATCATCAGTTTTTGTAAGCTGGGGTGGATTCTGGTGTTTTCCTATAGTTGTATAAAATTGGAGCTGAATTCTTTGCGATGGAAAAATCCAACTGTAAGTGCGTGAGAGAGTGCCACCATTGGAGCTGTAATTGAATTCTTTGCGATCGGGCAAACTTTTAGGTATGGTTAGGGAAGAAGATCAAGTGGGATGGGATGGCATAGGGTGGGAGTGGGGAAGAAAATAAAATTTTAAAGATTTGAGATCGTAATTGGTATATATAAAGCAATTGAGTATAATTTGCAAAACAATAAAAATGTTGGGACTGCAAGCTTTTTGTTTTATTTAATCATGAGGGTCTAATCATAATTTTACTACTTTTCTTAATAAATTGGACGAAAATAAATGAAAATAATAATTTCCGCAATGAAATGTTTAAATATGGGTGAAATGCAACATTGGGACGCTTTGCACAATGAACTCCATACGTAGGAATTTTTTGTGTTAATAACCCTTTAAATTTCTTGTCAATGATGATTAATTTTATTTAAAGATAATTCTTTATTTTTAAAATTCAATTTAGTAGATTTGGTCAACAGTTGAGCGAGAAATGCCGGATCTACATGAGTGTATGTTTTTACTCCAAAATTAAGCGCAAATTGATTTTTTTTTCTATAATGTTTTCCAAAATAAAAGGAAAAACTCTATTTTACATTGGACTGGAACGGAAGATGAGATGCTGCTCAACATCCTGAAGACGACAAAATTCTTGGAAGAGGTCCAGTCTATTATTAAGAAAAATAAAAAAAATTATAACAAAAAAAAAATGGCAAGAAGAGGGTTTTTATGTGGGGTAACAAATTTTCAAGGAAAATGAGTGCCCCAAAAGATGACGCTTAATACTAGGACTGGACAGATTCTTAAGTTAAATATCCAAACGGGTGTCTGAATCAAGAATCGACTTGTTCAATTCGGTTCTCGGTTCTAGATCAAGAACCGAAGAGATGAATAAAAATCGAATCTTCTTAATTTTTTTAAATAATTTATTTTAAATAAGAAAAATTATTTTTTTTCAAAATAAATTTGCTAACTAGTTAATTTAGTTCATACCCAAAAACATAATTTCCTATTTCTAATCTTCAGTTCAAAACCAACTTAATCAAATTGATTGAAATTTTATTTAAATCTGTTACTCTATCATAGTGCTGTTTTTACAGTTATGGAAAAATCGAATTGAAGCTCAATAACGCATCTCTTAATTATTTTGAGCTTACTATCTTTCTCTTCATATGATTTTCACAATCAAATCTATGAATAATTTAGCAAAGAAAGACACAAAAGATACATAAGATTGGACTACGTTATTTTTTAAGAGCTAAGATTGAACATATAAATAGTTGAATTAATGAAACTTTGTAAATATTAAAAATTTTAATTATAATACGAAACTTGGGAACCGAACTTTAACGATTCCATAATTAAATTTGGATTTGACGGTTCCATTACTAAATACTAGAAACTTTCGGGTCGGTTCAATTCTCGTTAGAACCAGAAATCAAAGAAAATAAAAAAGAATAGGAAAAAAGGAAAATGGTCTTTGTATGTGTTTTTCTTGTAGGGTAAAGATTTTTCTTTAAAAAAAAAAAGGTGGAAAGAATTGAAAAGCGATCCGGTGAATGGAAATAAACAAGGTAATTATTAGAATAGGAGTTGAAATATAGAGACTAAAAATGGAATCATGATGTCTAGGCATTTGCAATTATGAGTAAATCTAATATGATTATACTAGTCCACAATACATTTCAATATATCAAACTTGTAAACCAGTTGTACATTTGATTTTCAAGTAAGTTGGCAAAGATTTTGAAATTGATTATTATCGTAAAACTATCCAGCAAGATGATAGATCATAAGAAAGTAATATAATGATGGATAAAGTATCTTCCAACATAGATTAATTATCTATTCTATTTTATTAAAAACTAATTATAACATAATAATATAATTGCAGCCAGTGTCCCATACTTTGAAATTGCAACATCTTTTACTCTAACCTTTTATTTGTTGCACCCATAGTCCCAAATCTTTCAAGTGTGTATGGTTGGAGGACAAATAGATGAATTATGTCCATAAGTCTGTCAGTTGACCCCCAAAAAATTTGATTTTAACCACATTATAATCTTTCTTCTAATTTAGTCCTTTAACGTTTGAGTTTATTCATTTTAGTCCTTGAACTTCTATTGTGATCCAATTTGTCTTCCAAACTTTCCGTCTCTTCAATTTTGGTCCTTCAAGTTTGGATGTGTGTGTCGATTTGTCACTAGTTTAGATGGAATCCATCCAACAAGTTCTTTGCTACTACATTTATGAAAGCTTGAGAATGATGCCAACAAAATGAGAAAGTTTGACTTGTATTCACACATTTCACAAAGGTTTGTTGGACCGCTCCAACTTTCAGAAATTAAGATGAACAAAAGTGTATATTAATTAACAATAACTGAAGCAACTTGGCCTCAAATCTCTTATTGCACAAGTGAAAGCATGAGAATTACACTTGGAGCATCGAAGGGTTCCAAATATTTTAACAAAATAACTATAAATTATAACATTTCTTTATGTCTCATCCAACAAGAGAATTAGTGACGAAACTAAAGGAATGTCCAGCATGCATCCATGCTTGCATTATTCAACACAACTTCTCTAAATAAATCAAACGAACCAGTAATAATTGATTTTTAACACCATCGCATCTTGACCTTTCATAGTACCATGTCGTTCTTCTTCATTTTGACATCCTGTTACCTTCTTAGGCTTTTTCAGGAAATTCATCCTCCACATGGCTGATCTTTTAGGGAATTTAGTCGAATGTTCATTCAAGAAGTCTACATAAAAAATGCCAAATCTAACATTGCACTCTTTGGCCCATTCAATATTATCAATCAGTGACCATATGAAGTAACCCTTCACACGTAAACCATGACTGAGAATAAAAGAAAATTAATCTATTAATTTCAAAACATACAATTTTATTTCGAATTGAACTACCATATTTACAATACAAATGATGACTTACTCGATTGCCATTCTAAGGTATACGAGATGGTCCTTGTGATACTAAATCCTAGTTTCATCAACACGAGCCTTTGAAATCGTTAAGGCCTTACTGTTGAGTTCATCCAACCCTACAAAAGATCACGGAGGAATTCAATAAACCACTAAATGCTCTGAAAATTAGTAATTTTTAAGTATTCTTTTGTAATATAAATAAACAAATGAACATGACTATATCCGTTTTCTGTAATGATAATATTGGTATTCTTATATTTTTTTCCTTATATAAAGCATGAGATGGTGAATTCCCTCAGGATATATGTACAGCCATGGCCAACCAGCCTGCCATGAAATAAAAAAGATTGTTATTACGTTAGATTATATGTTAGCATTGGAAAATATGTAAACTATAATTTGTATTTTAATTCGTTGTGCCTGTATATTATGAGTCTATGTCACAATCATAAATAATAATAATAATTTGATGTGCCTAAATTGTTATAAGAATAATCTATTCATTTTCAGATTTTTCTCACGGAAGAGTAATCTTAATGGCTCACCTGCTGACCAATCGGCTTCCCATGACGATGAGCTACAAAAGAATGAGAAGTAAACATATTGTTATTAGTAGTGCCCATTTTATGTCAACATAAAAGAATATAACTGAATTGTACTTATTGTGATATTCAACATGCAGATCATCGTCATAATGGGATGGTGAATTAGTCTTTCTACGTATAATTTTGGCATAATAAGTCGTGTAATAATTTATGCCTAAGAAATCACAGGTTCCTTTCACTAGCGCCAACTCCTCCTTTGATTTATATTTGGGAAGACGTTTTCCTCTTATATTATTTCTCATGGACAGTGGATAATCACCAGTTAATACGGAGGCTACAAACCCGAACAGGAGAAATGGCTTAACTAAAGGATTACGATAGAAGTACTATCTGAAATTCTACAAAAATATATCTGATGTATTTTCGAAAAAACACATGATTTTATACAATATACAAACAACAAAAATGTATAAACAGGTTAAGGGATAAACAAAATAGAAGAGATGAAATTTCGATAATGAAATCCAATCTAAAGTACTTCCCTATACACTAATTTCATTTGGAGAGTTAGGAATCAACAGAGATGAAGAGAAATTTCACTTGGTAACGATAAACTACTCAAGCAAGAACAAGGATTGGAACCAAAGTCGCTCCTTTGATAAAAAAAATCTCTCAAATTGTCAAAAAGGTCCATACAATGAAATTAAGTTCCTATTTATATGAGTCCAAGAATAACCCTAAAAATCTAATTAATAAGGAAAAACCCATCCAAACAGTATAAAAATATGGAAAGACTAGAGTTCTAGGTGAATTAGGAAACTCGCGCATAAAACTAAAATTCTGCCCTGAAATGATCCTTTGCGGCCGCATAGAGTGACTCTATACGATCGCATAGAGGAAGATTAAAGTGCCTGAAAAACCCCTACATCTGGCTATGCGATCGCATAGCTGGGAGAATTATGCGGTTGCATAGCTTCTGGCTGGACTCCCTCTGTCTCCAGTTCGAACCATGCCTCTTCCATCTTGTTCCCTTGCCCATGTCCCACGGATATCTTGACTTTAGGCCTAGTTTTTGCATCTTGTTGACTTCCAAACTTGAATGATTAACTTGGCTCGAATCAATCTTGATTTCCATGGCCCGAACATGTGATTGATTGGCTTTATTGTCTCCATTTGGTCTCGATTTATGCTTGAATCTTGTCCCAGTGTGCCTTGAATTATTGATAATTGGTGGCGCACCATCAAAAACCATCATAAACGAATAGCACATACAGCTAAAATAATATTTATTTACATGTTTTTATAATTTCACAATTATAGAGTAGTCATTAGGTCAAATTAATGCATGTTCACAGCTATATAGTAGTCATTAAGTCAAATGAATTCACAATTTGTAGTTTAATAGTCTTCCCATCCAGCTCCACAGTCCTAATTTTCTACATTAATTATGGATAACTACATTGAACCCTAATAAAAACAGAGCTAAAGACATGAAAATAACTAAACCATTTTGTAATCTAATCAACATAGATAAAGGAATTATTGGAATAACACTCACAAAATCCATTCCAATGGTGCTAATATAGCTATCAACATATGAATCATCCTAAGAGCATCAAAGAACAGTGTCATGTCCACTATACAATTCACCGAAAAGAAATTTTAATAAAAACCCAGAGCTGAATATACGAACCCAACCATATTTCTAGAAGCAAATCACTAAACTATATATTCAATTGGCGATCAAGCAATTAAATAATAAAAATTAGTATGCAAGATTAATCAAGAATTGCAAGAATTTAACTAAACTACTTGTCTTGAATTAAAAATTAGCCCTTGTTTGGACACCATTCTTTTTCTCATTTTTTTTTCTCTCTTATTTTCAACCACACAATCTTTCACAAAATAATATTACATGCAAATCAAAAACTTTTCATTTTTTTTCAACCACACATTTTTTAAAAAACACTATTCTAACCATTAAAAGTTGGAAAGAATGGGGGCCAAACGGGGGCTAAATAATAAAAAAATTCGTCTTCATCCAATACATGAGAGGAATTAGCCTAGCATAATATTTGAATTAAACACATAAAAGTGAAAAGACATCATCAAGAATTGACGGAAAGTGATTAATTTCCTTGCAATTGTTGATAACTTATCAAAAAAAATCTGAAAATAATTATTGCTACTCTCCTTAATCTCGTGCATGCAGAGCCGGTCCTGAGGCGAGGCAGATGAGGCTTGCGCCTCAGGCCAAAAATTTTAGGGGGCCTCATTTCGTTGGCCCTTTAATTGGCAGACTTGTAGACGCAATCCCCATTGTTGCAGCGTGGAGGAAAGCTTGGAGTTGGAGAAGGAAGATGATGAGTGTTAGGTCCCGTTTGGCCCCCTTTTTTCCCATTAAAGTTCATTTTCTTTGGTCAAAAGTTGTAGGCTGCTGGGACCCACTTCTGAAATGGCTGCAACGATCATCTTTTGAAGCTATATGAATATTTTTAAAAACAACAAATGAGGCAACAAATGACAATAAAGCCCTTAGTATTTAAAATGTGGAATTGATGAATGTCAGCACACGAGAGTGTTATTGTCCTCATATACCCAATGGTTATTTTGGCATTTATTACGCACTGACAATTGAAAGGAGTGATTGACGTGTTGCCTGTAGGTGGTGAGTTGAAAAATGTTGAATAATGTGGAAAAATGGAAAAAAAAAACGGGGGCCAAACGAGATCTTAATTGGGCCAATTTTTTTATCTTTTTTTTTTTTAAGATTGTGGGCCTTTTATTTTGGACTTTTTTTTAATTACGCCCAACCTTCTCTCCCGTTCTTACTTCTCCCAAATCGGCAATTGCAAAACCCTATTCGACTTCCAAATCTGAAATTGTAGGTGAGCGATTCTCCAGCCAAGTATGTAGCAGCCGGTGCATCGTCGTCCTCTGCCAGACGGCCACTATCTCCACCCTACCCCATTTTGTCGACAAATGAGTTCGTGGATTATGGGTATGTTATATGTGTCAGATGTTCTTATTTACTCTAGTGATGTAAATTTTGTTGGTGAATTAACTTCACTGCATCCATGATGTAGATGAATGAAATAAGAAATTTCCTCATTTTATTTTTGCTAATTAATTTTTCTTGAAGATGTTTTTGGTCATGTTTCGTATCATCTTTTCCGAAGAATGACTTCCCTTTTTTTCTTTTTTCAATTTATTATTTTAAGTGTCCTTGTCTTGCTGTTTGTTGGTCAGTGAAATGAAATCCTTAAATTGCTCTTATAGGCAGGTTTATTTATTTTCTGATTAAAATTAAACTATTAACCCTCAAAAAGTAAAAAAAGTGAAAGTTATGTGTCTTTTTAACAATCAAGTGAAAAATCGTGTGATGATTTTATTCGATTATTTTTTGAGTAACAATAATTTAAAGATCAGCTTGTTAGGTTGTGAAAGATGTGTCACCTGGGGATCTTTGATTCTAATTCTGCTGTAGTAAAACTGAAAAAGATGGGTGGTTCGAAGAACTTATGCTTTAACTTTAACATTAAACAAGATTAACGTGATTGTTTTTTATGATTGAGATTGTTTTGTTATTATTTTTATGATTGAGATTGTTTATCCGATCATTTGAAACATTGTTGGTTTTGTCATTTTACAATAATTTTTTTTTTTTTTTTGTATAATGTATTTTGTTTGTTGTTTTATTGGTTAGTTTTAAGTTAACAAGAAGTTCCATAATACACTATTGAATTTGAATCTAAGATGATTTTAGGGGGCCTACTTTACGAAACTCGCCTCAGGCTCTGAAGATCATAGGACCGGCCCTGCGTGCATGCCCAGTCTTTCTTTTCCGTTTATGAAATCTCTAATTGCAGCCTCAATGTTTGACCTCCAAAACGAAACTCACTTGTGTTTAATCTTCAAAGCAGTCGCACTGGTTGTGTAATTCTAATTCCACCCAGCTCGCAGTCATTTTTCCTGTAGTTTTGTCTCCCTTTGTGAGCATATATATCGCAAATTCAACGGCAATCAGTTTTCTCAAAGTGGCTGCCGTTTTTCCTTTTTTCCCAAGGCAGCCACCTTTTTTAATGTGTGTAACATAGTATTGGGACAAACAAATTAAATCAAAATTATTGCACCTTAAATATGTCTAATATTTTGTAACTGAAACACGGCAATAGCCATGAATTTGCATATAATTAAATGAATTCCGTGATTAATTGGTTTGATGAGATAATCTTGAAACTTGCTATATGGGAAATGAAAACTTGCAATTGTTTAATCATGATCTACGAGGTTAAGAACTTCAGAAGATATTTTTAGACATATTTGTAATTCTCGAGGTAAGAACACATCATATAATTTTTTATAAACTTATTTTTTGACATTATATTTATAATTTTTATAAACATACACTTCTAGAAAAATCAATATGTAAAATTTCCACTTATTTCTCTAATGTGGCATAGGACATCTTCCATTTTAATAAAGATTATTATGTGTTATCAGATTGTTAAGTATTCATCCAATGTTAATAAAATATTGGGAATTGCAACATTAACATCTATCCTATTGCTATACTTCGAAAAAATCTTCACACCTATGCCCATTAGGAATTTACAAAAAAGCAGAATGCTCATCCATTACTTGTAAATACTCATTTCAAACTCAAAAACCAATTTCATTAACAATAAGTTCTCATCAAAATCAATATATTCGAATGGAACACATCATGTTGAATGAATTTAGCTCCTTAGAAATTAAAAAAATGCAACTACCTCCAATCCAGCACATCTGATCAAGTCTTATTTTCATATTTTATTCAGTGGTGGTGATTGTTTACATGCCATTCTATCATGGGTACAACCCCTGCAGCTTACACATCTCGTTTCTTGATCGCACTCTTGATTTGATTGTATTCTTTGCCTTCTTAAGTATCTTCAATTGTCATTTGGATATGGGAGGAAATATTAGGACTAGCTATAAACCTTATAATATTGAAGTAAATTTAGTTTCAATATCCTAAATTGGGAACATTAGACACCGATTGTGATAAATTAAAATTTCACAAGATCAAAGTTTTCAAGGAAAAATATAGCTTAAATACCAAATACAAATTCTAGCAAACCATTGGATTAATAGAAATTTGTAGTGCAAAAACAATCTTTATGCATTATAAAATTTCAACTAGAAATTCATAAATTTTCAAAAAAAGGAAAAAGAAGAACCAAAATAGTTTTTTCGAGGGGAAGATATACAATATAATTAATTCTAAAAACATAAAAAATAATATCCAATAAAAAGAGATAAATTTAAGTGGGATTTAGTGGCTTTCTTCTTCTTTGGAATTGAAGTCAAATCTATGGTGGACGACAAAGAACACAAGATGTTGAATCTTGGCCTTAGGGCTTAGGGTTCGGAAAGCAAAATTTGAATGCAATTAAAGGAAATTTGGATAAATCAAGGAAGAAGGTAAAGCTGGATATTAGGAATTTTGAAAAGGGAAAGATTTGGTGATCTAATTTATTGAGCACAAATCACGGGAAGTATACATAGATTTGGTTTTTCATTTTTTTATTACAAAATGTCAATATGTTTGGAGTATAAAATGTGGAAATGTAAGGGTACGGTTGGTTTGCGTTTGTGTTTCCTGTTTTGAGAAACTATTTTCGAATTATAGAAAACGTGTTTGGTTTGTCATTTTGAAAAACGATTTCTCAAAACAGAAAACTAGAACGTGCGTTTGATTTAAAATTTTTAGAAATTGTTTTATGACATTTATTTAATTAATTTGATTATTTAATAAAACATAACAATTTTATGCTAATATATTACCAGATAATATATATTTTAAATTTGGTGAATTTACTATTTTTGCTTGCTACAAAAATAAAATAATAAATAATAAATTTTTAGAAATTGTGTTATGACATTCATCCAATTAATTTGATTATTTAGTAAAAATCAAATACAAATTACAAATATCAAATGTAAAATGTAAAAATCAAATACACAAATATAGTTGTTCAATAATAAATTCCAAACAACCATCAATATTTTCTTGTAAAAATATACAATTGTAGTTGTTCAAACAGGTACTCTGCCTTTTGGGATGTGAACTGGAGCAGTAGGGGCTGTGGTTGCAGGCTGAAGAAGCTGTTCCTTAACTCTTCACCTTCCAATTCTTCAAGCTCGGCCTCCAATTCGTCCTGTCATAACAAAAAAATTATAACTTTAAATTGCATATCTAACTCGTGT